TCTCTCTCTCTCTCTCTCTCTCTCTCTCTCTCTCTTTCTCTCTCTTTCTCTCTCTTTCTCTTTCTCTCTCTTTCTCTTTCTTTCTCTTTCTTTCTTTTCTTTTTGAGATGGAGTCTTGCTCTAGAAGCCCAGGCTGGAGTACAATGATGCAATCTTAGCTCACTGCAACTTCTGCCTCCCAGGTTCAAGTGATTTATCCTGCCTCAGCCCTCCCAAGTAGCTGGGATTACAAACATGTGCCACCATGCCTGGCAAATTTTGTGTTTTTAGCCTGACCACTATGATGGTCAGGCTGGTCTCAAACTCCTGACCTCAGGTGGTTCACCTGCTTTGGCCTCCCAAAGTGCTGGGATTACAGGCGTTAGCCACCGTGCCTGGGCCATCATTGTATTCTTTACCACTACACTTAAAGGGAAAACTCAGTTACACTTAAAAAGGTGCATGATGAAGCAATAAAATTTATTAATTGTATTTAATTTCCATCCTTGACTACATTTCTAATATTTTATGTGATAAAATGGGAAGTCAACATAAAATGCATTTGCTGCGTGCAGAAATAGTGTGTTGCCTCAAGGAAAAGTGCTTTCGTGATTATTTGAGTGTATATTGAACTAGCCCTGTTATTTGAAGGGACACCATTTATAGTTAAATGACTGACAAACTATTGTTATTCAGATTTAGGTAATTTGGCAGACATTTTCCTGAAAATGTGAATGAAGGAAGCCTACCATTTCAAGGAAAATAACTGACAGTATTTCTTGCCCATAATAAAATTGGAAATTTGGATCTGCTTTGATGGCTTTTCAATATTTAGGGACTTTTCTGATGAGATCGATGGTGATTTTAACACAGTTTTTCGATATGCTGAAAAAGTGTAAAAACATTTGGAATGTATAACTCGGGGAATCAGTGTTTTCCAAATGGCTAATGCATGATATTACAGAATCTTGCATGGATGAAAATCCGTTTAAAGTACAAGATGGATCAGTGAATTTTAGTGCAACAAAGTATGAGAGGTTTATTGATAAAATTTCTGTTACCACATAGTTTTCAAGAAACCACCACTTCCTAGTTCTGATGTAGTATCGAAGACTATTTACAATTATCAGAAAAGGCTATTAAAATGCTCTTCCTCCTTTCAATGTCATATCTATGTGAGATCTGATTTCCTTCATATATGTATGTTGTGATACGTATATTTGATCTATTGTGATACATACTGTGATATGTATCAAAGCAACATACTACAACAGATTGAATGAAAAAAGTGGAATCCAGGTGTCATCTATTGTTTCTTTGTGTGTTTTTTTTTTTTTGGAGATCGAGTTTTGCTCTTGTTGCCCAGGCTGGAGTGCAGTGGTGAAGTTTTGGCTCACTGCACCCTCCACCTGCCAGGTTCAAGCGATTCTCCAGCTTCAACCTCCCAAGTAGCTAGGACTACAAGTGCCTGCCACCACACGGGGCTAAATTTATGTATTTTTAGTAGAGATGGGACTTTGCCATGTTGGCCAGGCTGGCCTTGAATTCCTGACCTCAGGTAATCTGCCTGCCTTGGCTTCCCAAAGTTTTGGGATTACAGGTGTGCCCCGCAACCAGGTGTCATCTGTTAAAATAGACTTTAGGCCAGACACAGCAGCTCACAGGTATAATCTCAGCCCTTATGAGGCTGAAGTGGAGGAACACTTGAAGCTAGGAGTTTTAAGACCAGCCTGGGCAACACAGCAAGACCCCATAGACTTAAAGAAATTTACAGAAATGTAAAAGAAGTCCATTCTTCTTACTAGGTTTTGTTTTTATTTAAAAAAATTTTTTTTTTTTTTAATAAAAATGCCATTCATGGTACATATAGTGGGTGGTGTTTTTAAAGAGAAAATAATATTTTAAAAATTTCTGAGTTTTAATTTCTAATGTGGCAAATATCAGTAAATATAATTACATAAATAAAAGCTCTTTAAGTCTTTGATAATTTTCAAGAGTATAAAATGGGTCATGAGAGCAAAGAGTTTAGAAGCAACTACTGAAAGGAGTTCCCTTAATATACCTGCCATCATGACTCTGTATGTATGTATATATTTATTTATTATTTTTATTTTGAGACAGAGTTTCACTCCTGTTGCCCAGGCTGGAGTGGTCTTGGCTCACCGAAACCTCTGCCTCTGGTGTTTAAGCAATTCTCCTGTCTCAGCCTCCTGAGTAGCTGGGGTTACAGGTCTGCACCACCATGCCTGGCTGATTTTGTATTTTTAGTAGAGACAGAGTTTCCATGTTGGTCAGGCTGGTCTCAAACTCCCGACCTCAGGTGATCCGCCTGTCCCAGCCTCCCAAAGTGCTGGGATTACAGGCATGAGCCACCGTGCCCGGCCTACTTTGTTTTTGTTACATGCTCAATAATTTAATTGGAGCTATTTATCTATACCTCTTTAGCTAATCTGGTTTTAAGGAATTGAAAGTAAAATGAAATGTTCTTTTTGCTTTTAGAAAGTAAACTTTTTCATATTGAAGGAACTTTGTAGAGTAGCTTTCAATTTTTTGTATTCCACATTCTGAGAGTTTGAATACTCTTAGAGAACTTAGTTTTTAAAAACCCATGCAGTTTTCCATAACTAGAATTTATAAATTTTCACAAGTGATTATGGTAGTTTTTTGTTTGTTTGTTTGTTTGTTTGTTTTGAGACTGATTCTTGCTCTTTCACCCAGGATGGAGTGCAGTGGTGCAATCTCAGCTCACTGCAGCCTTTGCCTTCTGGGTTAAAGCGATTCTGGTGGCTCAGCCTCCCAAATAGCTAGGATTACAGTGGTGCCCACCACACCCAGCTAATTTTTGTATTTTTAGTAGTGATGGTGAACTGGGTTTCTCCATGTTGGCCAGGCTGGTCTCGAACTCCTGGCCTTTAGCAATCCACCTGCCTTGCCTTCCCAAAATGCTGGAATTACAGGTGTGAGTCACCACACCCAGCCTTGATTGTGGTAGTTTTATGTTTGGAGTATTTCATTAAATTTGATGAAGACGAGTGTTTTAAGTATTAACTGTTCACTGTTACTAAATAGTGAATTTGTTCTGGACGTTCCTATACTTTTGCTCATTTAATACTTTGCCATTTGAAGGGTAAATTGCTTTTTGCATTTCCTTCCTTAAAAAGGAAATGTATGGGTCACCTGTGTTTGAACAATAAATTATAAGCTATTTGCCTATGCTTTCATAAAGTCTCTTCTTGGGCACAGCTTATGTTATTTCCCTTGTAATAATTGTTACTCTCTCTCTTTTTTTTTTTCTCTTTACTTCCCCTAGCCACTATCCCTTTTCATCCTGTCTTTCTCTTTCCTCCTTCTTCTCTTTCTTAGCCAAGCTGCATTTAATGCTCTTTAGTCCCAATCCCAAAATGGATGGCAGTGAAGAGAAACCACACTTGGATATTAGAAATACTTTGGGAGGCCGAGGCAGGTGGATCACATGAGGTCAGGAGTTTGATACCAGCCTGACCAACATGGTGAAACCCCCGTGTCTACTAAAAATACAAAAAAATAGTGGGTGTTGTGGTGGGTACCTGTAATCCCAGCTACTCGGGAGGCTGAGGCAGGAGAATTGCTTGAACCTGGGAGGCAGAGGTTGCAGTGAGCCAAGATCACGCTACTGTATGACAGAGCAAGACTCTGTCTCAAAAAAAGAGAAATGCAAAAGGAATGTCAGGGACTCTCAAAGATCTACCTTTGGCTGGGTGTGATGGCCAACACCTGTAATCCCAGCACTTTGGGATTACAAATTGCTTGAGCTTAGGAGTTCAAGACTAGTCTGGGCAATATGGTAAAAACCTGCCTCTACAAAAAATCTAAAAATTAGCCAGGCTTGGTGATACATACCTCTAGTCCCAACCACTTGGGAGGCTGAGATGGGAGGATCAGTTGAGCCTGGGAGGTTGAGGCTTAAGTGAGCCATAATCAAGCCACTGCATTCTAGCCTGGGTGACAGAGCAAGACCCTATCTCAAAAAAGAAGAAAAAAAAGACCTACTTTTATCAGGAGTTACTCTGAGTGCTTTCAATTTTGGTTCTAACCTCTACAGAGCAAGCCAGGCACATTTTATCTACTACCCACAGGGCAACAGGAAATTCTGATTATTCCATGAGATAGTATATTCAACTCTGTCTTTATTCTTGTTTTTTTTTTTTTAATATCAAGAAGAGAGGTCAGAAAGCTACCTCCATCTTATTAATTAATTACCAGAATTGGTTGGAAAATAATTTGTTTGACTTCACCAAGTTGAGATGCTAGAGTAAAACTTGTAACCAAATAAAATAATGTCAACATTGTTCCAGTTACACCCTTTCACCCTTTCACTGAACTAAGATAGTCTGAGTCTTGCCTAATTATTTAAATTTCTGACATCAGCAAAATAAAGCATTGAATTATTTTATGACATTTTTCTTATTTGATATTTAAATCAGATATACAAAGTTATATATAACTGCAGTTTTAGCTGAAAAAATAAATTCTTCCTTGTTTGTGGCAAAATAAGTTAGAATTTTCCAGATATTTTTTAAGTTGCTTCTTCAGATTTAGAGGCTTAGCAGTAATAATAGCTCTCTCACACTAGTGACTTGAGATAAAATTGTAAACTCTAGCCTTTATTTCTGGATAGTCAATGGATTCCATATTAAATTAGCAAAGGAATAGCAAATGTTTTACATCATTTACAGCAAGCTTGTCCAACCCAGGGCCCATGGGTCACATGTGGCCCAAGATGGCTTTGAATGCAGCCCAACAGAAATTTGTAAACTTTCTTAAAACATGAGATTTTTTTTTTGCGATTTTTTTTTTTTTAAGGTCATCAGTTGTTGTTAGTGGTAGTGTTATTTCATGTTTGGCTTAAGATAGTTCCTCTTCCATTGTAGCATAGGGAAGCCAAAAGATTGGGCACCCCTGACTTGAACAGCAATTAATAATATTTAAGGGCACTGAAATCTTACTCCAGAATCATCCATGTAACTTAAAACTTAAAAAGAGAGTACAGAACAACATTGTAATTTTATTCCAAGGAAAAAGTCGATTTTTGCAAAGAAATGGTCAGTAAATCTCAATAAGATTATGGACCAATAACTTCAGAGTTTTTTATAAGAAGTGGTTTGACAAATGAAAGTTGGAATTAGGTTAAAAGGTGACAAAAGCTCATAGCTGTTAGAAGTAAAATTGTCTGCCAGTGTCATGGACCTATTTTGGATTAATTTAATTGCAGTTGGGAAATAATTTTGGCATCACGATTCATGGACGAAAGGAAAACATCTTGAGTTTAGATCAACCCAGAATACTGCACCAGGTGTATTCAAACATATAAATAAAGATAATTTAGATTAACCCAGAATATTGTACTAGGTGTATTCAAACATAAAAGTAAGCATGGTTGTGGAATTAATTCTTATTTAATTCAACTGCGTAAGGATTTGCCGACTCAGAGCCACACACACAACAAATTCATAAAGCTAATATTGAAGCTTCAAGAAGCTATGAATTAGCCATCTCAGGCATGCCTTTGAATAGAGTCATGGTGAGGATAGGGGCTGAGAGATCCATTTCCATTACAGCTTTTTCTTAACCCTTTCTTTTATTTTCCCCATGAAGGACTAGCCCGAGCCAAGTCGGTTCCCACAAAGACCTACTCAAATGAAGTTGTCACACTATGGTACCGGCCACCTGATGTGCTTCTCGGTTCCTCAGAGTACTCAACACAGATTGACATGTGGTAAATATACATAGATGTCACTGACATTTATAATTTTAAACGAATGTAGCTGTTATTGCAGGGTGTATTGATAAGTATTTAACTTTTAAGGAGGTATTATTTTGAAGAGCCATAATATAAATAGTGATTAATGAGTTATTACCTAGGTTTAAATACCAATTCTGTCATCTAGAACTATATATTAACTTTATTCAAATTATTGGCCTTTGCCTCAGTTTCCTCATTTAAGGAAATGGGAATAGTAACAGTACCTACTTTGAAGTTTTGTAGGTGATATTGAGACTGAATGAACACTCAGAAGAGTGCTATATGAGACACTCAGAAGAGTATCTAATACATAGTAATTTAAAAAACAAAATTATTATTTTATCATCATTTAATATTCACCAAAATCTTCCTGCCTTAATTTGAACTAAAAGTAATAATTAAAATATTGTAGTCATCTTTGTCACACACCACTTCAGTCATGACACTCTTCTCAAACACCGTTATTGCCACCCCCTTATTACCTATCAAAGATGCAATTAATTCCTCAATCTGCTACTTAACATAAGATGTCTGTAAACTACTTTTTTCAAATTATTTCAGACTGTTTCTCAACACAAATGCTCCCTTTTAACAAAATGGCATACTCACTATACCTCAGGAATAACGTGGACTTTGCTCTTGGGGTTCATACCAGTCCACCCATCTGGAATGTCCACTCTGGCCCTCAAACTCGGGCTGATCCTAGTAACGTTCAAAACGCAGCTTTTCAAAAATCTTTCCTGAATATACTCTAGGCTGTGGTGGCAGTTCCTTCCTCTGAACTGTGGTTGCATTTATTTTCCATGTTCTTCATGTAATAAGTCATATACCTTTTTCTGTTGTCTTGAACAATTATATAAAATGTTTCATATAACTTTTAAAAATTAATTTTTGATATTGTGGTAAAATACTCATACAATTTATCATTTTAACCAATTTAAGTGTACAGTAGTGAGACATTAGGTACATTTATATTGTCGTGCAGCCATCACCACTGTCCACCTCTAGAATCTTTTTCATCTTGCAAAACCAAAACTCTGTACCTATTTACCAACTTCTCTTATTCCCCTCCCCCACCTCCAGTTTCTGGTAACCACTATTCTGTAATACTGTCTGTCTCTATGAATTTGACTGTTCTAAGTACCACTCAGTAGTAGAATCATGCAGTATGTGTCCTTTCGTTACTGGCTTATTTCATTTGGCATGTCTTTAAGGTTCATTCACGTGTAACATGTGCCAGAATTTCCTTCCTTTTTAAGGCCAAAAATACTCCATTAAATATATACTCCACCTTCTGTTACCCATTTGTCCATAATGCTGCTGTGCACTTGGGTATACAAATATCTTTTCAAGACCCTGCTTTCAATTCTCTCTCTCTCTTTTTCTATTTAAGAAACATTGTCTTGCCATGTTGTCCAGGCTGGTCTTAAACTCCTGGGCTCAAGCAGTCCTCCTGTATTGGCTTGATTTCAGTTCTTTTAGATATATACCTAAGAGTGGAATTGCTGGATCACATAGTAATTCTATTTTTAAGCTTTTAAGGAACGACCATACTGTTTTTCATAGCAACTGTATCATTTTACTTTCTGTATAACTTTTAATATATAAAATCAACTTTTATATACAGTTACTAGATTACGAGCCCTTTAATGGAAGGATTGTGTCTTAAATTATGTATGTTCACAAGTTCCTAGATGACAATATTCTTTGAACCACCATCCATTTCCTTTCCTTCTCTTGCACACACCAACCTGTACCAACATGTTCTATTTCTGCTTCCTGCATCAAAACATCTGGAATCATTTGCTTCTCTCCATTTCTCCTGCCCAGCTTAGGTCACTGTTATCTGCTAGAAGACCATTATATCTCTTCCGTTGTTTTTCCCCCTTCCTTTCTCATTACTTTCAATCCATGGTCTACACTATTGCTAATATAGGGATTCAATGAGATAATTGATATACTTAAAAAAACCATTTCTAACACATGGTATACCTTCAGTCACTGTTAGCTATTGTTAGTGTTATTCTTCAAGGATTATGCAAAGGAGAGCTGGATATTTTAAGTGGGAAAAACAGATATAGCAACACAGAAATTGAGAACAGGGTAAATATGAGCAAATTAGTTAGATCTAAAATATCTCTTCAGGAGATTTTTCAACAGGCTAGTGCAAAATTCCCCAGAGAGACAATTTTAAGGGAAAGATTCTTGTGCTTCATAATATGTAAATGAATTGCTCAATTTTTTTCATAATCTATTTTAAAGGGGTGTTGGTTGCATTTTCTTTGAAATGGCTTCTGGAAGACCTTTATTTCCAGGATCAACTGTGGAAGATGAACTGCACTTAATTTTCCGACTGCTAGGTAACAGGAGAAATCTTTTCCCAGTGATTTTGCACCCGCAATTGACTAGCTTGATAAGACTGTATCTCTAAAATATGTATTTTAAAATTTGATACTGATTCTAACATAAATAGATGTTACTTAGAAGAATTAGAATGGACACTATGAAGATCCTTCTAAGTAACTTCATCTAAGTTTTATCTTTGCAATAAAGATTTTATGGAAAAACAGTATAATTATTATGGAAAATTGGGTGTCATCATATTTTTATGGAATATTGCTAACTTTGGTGGTATCAGTTGGATAGAAAAAGGGCCAGGCATCCCTTTTACAGTATCATTGCAAAGTCCAAACAAAAAGTCCATGTACGTTTATATCTATCATTTCAATTGCAGCTGAAATAGTTAAGTCAGCTAGTAATTGTAAATTGTTCTCTAAGACACTTTGTTATATATATGCATGTATAATTTATATATAAATTTTATATGTATTTATAAATATATTTAATTTTTTAAAAAATTCAGGAACTCCATCTCAGGAAACTTGGCCAGGTATTTCTTCAAATGAGGAGTTCAAGAACTACAACTTTCCAAAATATAAACCACAGCCTCTAATTAACCATGCACCCAGGTATTTTTTTTTCTTATGTAAAAGGGGGAACACTCACATGATTCTTTTCAGTCTTTTGAAGAATTAGCCACAGTAAAGATTCAGGAAAAAATGTATAATACACACAATCCTTTACATATTTTAGGATCGAATTTAATTTAGAACTGCATATGTATTAGAATTCTGGAGTTTATGTAGATATTCCTTTTCCCAGAAAAAACACATTGATTAACGAATGCTTTAGTCTGTACCACAAAGATTATGATGAAATTTCTATTTTGCTTTCTACAGAATTATTCTGTATTTACTTACAAAAACTTAAGAAAGGGTTATGTTAGTAAAATCTTGACTCTGTAACACAAGGTAACCTAGCAGTATTTTGGCCAGTGTTAATGATGTAATTCATATTTGAAGAATATAAACTCTGTTTGATTCCTTAGCAAAATGTAGCATCTAAATGTCAGCCATTCATTTAAGTTTCTTCTTAGACCTATCCCCAGACCAACCCAAGACTCCAAATAAAATTTGAGTCAGAACATTTTTACTTGTGGAATGTATTACATTTTCAGGAGATAACATAGAATAACCCCTGTAACTACATTTTCCATCTCTCCCTCCCGCCAAAAAACATTTGAAAGTCACCAAGATACCAAATAAGGCCATCATCTGTTTTAACCCAAAGCCATTCACATGGCTCACAGCATAAGACACTTGTTCTGCTTTCTTTTATTTTCAAGTTAGGGAAGGAACAGCAAAATAATTATGACACCAAAAATATTTTTAAAGTATTCATGTGAGTTGGTACTCTTACTGTTACTATAGCAACTAATACCATTCTGACTAGATTTTCTTAGGAAGAATAATAATATGTGCTGTGTTTTTTTTTTTGCGTGTCTCTCCCAAGTAGCAGAAATTCTATTTCTGTCCTTTAATTATTGCTTGCTTTTGGTACTGTTCAGTGTAGAAGGTTGAAGCCTTTCTTTGAAGCAGTCTCCATGACTGTAGCACCTAGTTTGTCTGTGCCCAGGGAACTCTGGATACGTGCTAGAATGGCAAACTACATAGAATGTATAGACTGCATCATTCACAGGATCCCCTTGAGAGCACTTGGAAGAAAATATTTCGTTATTCACAATTGTACTTTTACCAGTGAAAGGCAGTGTAAGATAGAACCTGTTATTTCTGATCAAGAGATTATTCCATTAAGATAATCCTAGGCTGGGCGTGGTGGCTCACACCTATAATCTCAGCATTTTGGGAGGCCAAGGCAGGCGGATCACCTGAGGTCAGGAGTTCAGCACCAGCCCGATCAACATGGAGCCTGTCTCTACTAAAAATACAAAATTAGGCGTAGTAGCACATGCCTGTAATCCTAGCTACTTGAGAGGCCAGGAGAATTGCTTGAACCTGGGAGGCAGAGATTTGCACCATTACACTCCAGCCTGGGCAATAAGAACGAAACTCTGTCTCAAAAAAAAAAAAAAAGATAATCCCTAACCTTACCACCCCTAGTTAGACTAATTTCATCTTTAGTATTGATGAAGTTTTATGAAGTTATGTATCATATTTAAATTGAACTTAATACCTTCTAATACCCGTTACTGAGCAGACTACTCTGTAAACATTTGTTGAATAGCTCATTTCTGTGTTTTTCTTGAACAACTGTCATACATTTTGGGGTCACTTGTCTCTATGTTTTCACCTGTGTAATAGGAAAATGATGCTCTTTTATACTTGCCTTCAGTGAAGCACTGTGAAAAGTAATACAATATTTAAACTTTCTTAATACTATAAGTTAACTTTGAGACAGCATGGTGATTTTTAAAAAATTCTATAATTTTAATAATTTGTTCTTGGCTATTGAAAATTTGAATCGAAGCCAAGTTATTTATGGCTTATTCTTAAATAGCAAGGCCAGTCTTTTAAGACTAAAAGAAATTTGAGTCTATTTGAAGGCAACAAGAGTGACTAGTTTAGGGCACTTAAATTTAGCAGATTAAAACACTTAGAAAATAGTTTTATCTGAAAAGTTTTACCAGCTAAGAGAGAATAAATTTTTACTTATTCTTTGTTGTTTCTAGGTTAGATTCTGAAGGAATTGAGTTGATAACAAAATTTCTTCAGGTAAGTCAGATCTTATTGTAATTGTTAAATAGGTAGTTAAGCTTCAGCTTCCTCATCTGTAGAATGGGGTCAGTAGTACTTCCCTCAGTATTGTTAATGACAAAATTATTTCGGCTTAATGCACGTGTTTAAGTTAAAAAAAAAAAAAAAAAAAAAAAAAAAAAAAAAAAACATGGTTGGTTTCTGCTAATATGTCTGGGTCTCTTGTCACATAAAACAGTCTAAGGTAGTTGGTTACTGGCATTAATCAACCATGTCAAGGCCACATTCTCTGCAATTTATGCTTTCTTATGTTCCCTTTTCCTTACACCTACAGCCTTTGGAGGATGCTCTGCCTCCAAATACTATTCTTATTTCTCTCCAAAGCAGGAATAAGAGGTGACAATAAGGGTAGTACCAGCCACATTAGTCCTCTTGCAATTTGGAAGCAAAAGCTTTACAAAAACCCCTATGAGGTTTCTTTCCAAGTCTCATTGGCCAGAACATTAATTGTAGGAGAGACTAGGATTGGGGAGCAGGATTGTCATAATTAGTCTAAATTTAGAGCAGTTATGATTCATGATTCATCTATCAAAGTTGATGGACACCCTGAATAAACCTAGCTGTATTATCAAAGAAAAAAGAGAAATGAGTATTGGATAGCTAATTAAGAATGGCTGCCATAAAGTTACTGGATATATGTCCACCAGTCATTTGGTGTTCATAAAGAAAAGTAACAACACAGGTCAGATATTTTAATTTTTCTTCACTTCAGAAAATACAAGTAATATAAATTTTTATTTAAGATCCAGCCTTATCTTAGAAATGTAGAACTGAGATATTATTACACAATCTCAACAATAAATCAAATTAGAGGATAACTGGAGTATTCCAAATCATTACTTGAAAAATAGTATATTAGTATATTAAATAATCAAGATTTTTAAAAAGTAGTTATAAATGGTAATTTGACCATCTCCTACTTTTTACAGTAATTAGAGAAAAAGCTAATAAGGCAGTTCTTTGCTTTTTCACAGTATGAATCTAAGAAAAGGGTTTCAGCAGAAGAGGCCATGAAACATGTGTACTTTCGAAGTCTGGGACCAAGAATACATGCTTTACCAGAAAGTAAGAGAAATCCTAAAGTGTCTCTCCCCCTTTATTTTTATTTGTCCAGGGTTAGGGACTGGGGAAGATCGGGGAAGACAGTTATTGATTTATAAGCCTAAGATTTTAGACTTTTCTGTAGTTAAATCAGAATTTCTTGAAGGGAGGTGTGTGTCTTATTTCCGTGTGATTTAGTTATTTCTTGTAACACTAGTTATGGATCATTAATCTTATTGGATTTTAGTTGGAATATGCCATCTGATGACAAGCATTGTCCCTAGGCCCAATCTAGCTTTGATTTAGAGTTGTTAAAAGTGTATTTCAAGCAAAAACTAATGAAACACAACTGAAACATAAAGTGTTTTCTTGTGAAAATATGTTTTTTAAGATACAAAGATCATTTTCCTTTATTGTGGTCACTCATCCCCATGGATGAGTGTATTGGCAGAGTCACTGAAATAGCAAATTTCCCATGCTTGAGTAACGTTGATTTTACTCGTATCATTTTATTTTTAGATTATCACGGTATTTTACTTTAAAGTAAGGAGACTGGGGAATTAGAAGAATATTTGGGAACTAAGCTGCCAAAAACTTTCAAATTTCCCATTCTCATTTATTAGGCAATATTGATTCATTGAGGCTTATGTAGCAGTCAGTGACAAAGCTAATTGAAATAAAAAATCCTTAATACTTTTCACTTCAACTTTACTGGATAGGCTTAAATGAAAGAATACCTCTCTGACAGAGATTAGATATGAAAGAGATGAATTACAGGTTTTTTCAAAAATATATTTGTATTTCATTTTTAATATCAAGTTTCACTTTGAGGTAGGCAGTTATGATTATACAAACCTTTTCCTTGTTTGTCGCTAAAATTCTGAAGATAACTTGAGGGCCTGATACCTTCATGTCATCTAAGGAGACAGAGATAAAGGACAGAGAGAATTAATACCTAGTGTGATAATATATTTTAACTGGGTCTCCCAACCCCAGAAAGTCCTGGAACAGACAGTGTATATTCTCCTCGGAGAAACCTGCTCACAGCGTGCTCTAACACAGAGTTGGGAGAAGAAAGGTTCTGAAGGTTGATTACCTCATTTATTTGGCTTTCTCCTCAACACATTGGGACAAAAAGGAAAAATTTTAGCAGGGATATCACCTTGTAAAATGGTTTCGTATTGAATCAGTATATGCCTTATAAACATTTGTTGATAGTTTGTGTTTGTTTTAATAATGTTAGACCTTCACCTAATAATTTTTGTCTATGCATTTTAGGTGTATCAATATTCAGTTTGAAAGAGATTCAGTTGCAAAAGGATCCGGGTTTTCGAAATTCTTCTTATCCAGAGACAGGTGTGTTTGTCATAAACCATTTCACGTGTCGATCATGAATTTTTGCTTGGAACCAAGCTTTTGGTTTATAAATTGATCAGTAAAATTATTGATGTAAAAACCAATGTACAGTGCATTCCACAACTGTGTATGTTTAACATTGCACGTACTTACTTTTCTGTATGATGTGGGCAGCTCAGTAAATCTTCAGAGAAAAATCTGACTCAGTCAAGTCAGGGATCCTGAAAGCTACAGATGGCATAAAGACTTACAAGTGACCTGGCTTTATCACTGCACACGCCATCCCTGGTACCTGAGGCAGAAGACACATCTTGTGCTTCCCTAGTCATCAGGTTCATCACTTCGAAGCATAGAAGCTGTAGACTAACCCCATCAACAGAAGGGTCAGTTAAGACAGTGCTGATCACTCTTACCCTGGAATATTAGCTTTTGCTGGTGGGAACATTAGCTTCCTAGTCACCAAATAACTGTGTGGGATAAAGCTGAACCTTGAACTGCCTCATAAAATGACTTTATATTTTAGGACATGGGAAGAACAGAAGACAGAGCATGCTCTTTTAAGTCTGATAACATGATTTCAAGCCCAGCCCCCAGCCTTTCTTACCAATCAAGGACTCAGATCTGAAGGCAACTGTTTCTTTTGGTGGACTTGGAATCTCCGTTTGTCTACACTGTCCCTTCACAGTGGAGTCTTTTATTTCAGACCTACAGATTGTTTTTATATTTGTTGTCACAGTGTGACAATTTTTTGTACAGTCGGTTTTAAGGTCTTCTCTGCCATTAGAGCCAGTAGGTTGATGTAACTGTAGCTGCAATTTTTGTGCAGGACTGAGAAACACAGTGCATTATTTATTGCGGAATCATTGCTGCTAAATAACTACTGTCTGTTTATTTAACACAACAATTGAATGCCTGAAGTTGCAGTGGCTTTATTATATGTGAATGCATCTGTTTCTCCTCACAAATTGTTTTACTGCTGCATTTTTTGTTTGTTTATTAAAATTAAACTGCAGTGTTTCCTGGAATGTAAATTTAGCTTTGCTTAACAGTAAAATAAGTGAGCCATCTTGAACACTTTAAGTTTATGCTATATAATTTCTTAGTGAATATTGGCAAATAGAGTAGCTAAGAGATTGACAAGCACATTATGTTTAGATAAGCATGTGATGCAGAAGTTGATTCAAGCAAGTGAATACCTGACATTTTGAGGATCTCACATTAGATACCAACAAATTAAAGCTCCAAAATTATTTATTTTTTTGCCCGTTCCTCGTTTTAGAAATGTCTACTGCATATTACTGGATATCTGTATACTAATACACTTACCTGTTTTACATTGTGCTTTAAATTTAGTTAAAACTTAACCATAGAAGTCCATTCAAACATGAAAGGTCTTGCAAACATGAAAGATCTTGCTTTGTTTCAAATACATTTATTTTATTAGAAAGGGTGATACTTCATTGGGGAACAATTTCTTTCATTTGGGGGCTGTGTGTTTCAGTAACATTCACTTGGAATCAGCTTAAAGCTGTAATATGTCTTTGAAATGAGCCATGATAAATTACAAATAAGACAAATGAGAACTTACAGGATTGCTTTAAATTATTGTGGGTATTACTGTTTACCAGAGATACTAAATATTAGTTTTAATTATGCATCTCTTTGAACATCATAAACACACTTTGGTGTTGGTAACAGTATTTTAAGCATTTGTGTTCACTTTTAAGGACTATTTGTGTAGTGCATCTTACAAACTATAAATCTTAATTGGTATATTTTGAAATGGTCGTGTAAATTTTTGCCTTATATATCATGAAAATAGTCATAACTTAATTTCTTTTCCTGAAATTCACTGTAAAACATTCAGGGGTCCTACCATTTCTGTTCGGGACATCTTGTAGTTTATTGTTATTTAACAGTATTAAGTGGATTTTTGTATATTTCATTTTAACTTTATTTGTGAATAGTGATTGTGGCATGTTTGGAGTGTTATTTTCAGATTTCATGATACTGAAATTTTAATTTAAAAAAAACTTTTTTTGGAAGAAACAGATCATGTGTAATGGTGAATATTGGACCACTACTCCTTTTCACATTTGTAAATTGGTTTTATGTTAAACCTTGTAGCCTAACAAACTGCTGTTCTTTCTAACTGACAGACATGTATCAATATTGTTCTTTGAAGGTTATAAATATGTGGAAATTCCTTCATTTTGTTTTGAAATTTATAATAACAAAATCTCCATGTTGTTAAAATGTGGTTTTATTGAGTCACAGTTCTTTCTTTGGGATGAAGGTGGTGTCGAGTGGGGTCCTTTTCTTTTATGGGTCATTTTTAAGATAATGAAGTTTCACTTCGCTAGAGGTGATAACTGCTTTCTGTTTGTGCCAATCATTTGCTTAATAATTTCTGCTGTTTTTTTAATAGCACTCTCAATTTTAAAGTATCAAATTTGTCATTTCATGTATATTTGATTTGTTGCAAATTTGACATATAATTTTCCATAGGCTTAATTCTTGCATATAAAAGGTGAAAATATATATCCATTTGTTACATAAAATGTTTCTTCCTAGGAATTCCTAGGGATATTTCTTCCTTAAGGAATTTGGTAAGCAAACAAGTGTTTGTTTTTTTGTTTTATTTTTGTTACTTGAGCATCATTCAGATCCTGAAAACATTGCATTGAAGGTAATTGAAACTCCAAAACTTGGAACTTTGAATACTTATGATTCCTCTTAAACTGATAAGATTCTTAAAGGTAAGAGAAGATGCCTTTTATGTTTTTTTTTTCCAAGTGGTACTATGAACACACGTTGGCTATGTCATTCAAGGTATGTGGAGTAGCTGCATTCTGTCAAATGCTTTATCAACTTTCATTTGAAAAACTACTTGTTAACATAATAACCTATCTTTTGGACTCGGGACAGTTTATGTGGGTTGTTTTTAATCTTTACTTTTAAAAAATGTGTTAAGATATGTATATATCATAAAATTTGGCATTGTAATTATTTGTATGTGTGCAATTCAGTGGCATAATTACAGCCACAAAGTTGTATAACAGTTACCACTATCTACTTCTAAAATTTTTCGTCACACCAAACAGAAGCTCTGAACCATTTCCCCCTTCCCCCAGCCCCTGGTAACCTCTAATCTGTGAATTTGGCTATTCTTGGTATTTCAAATAAGTGGAGTCCTACCATATTTGTCCTTTTGTGTCTGAATTATTCAGCATAATGTTCACAGTTCATCCATGTTTAAGATGTATCATAACTTCATTTCTTATGACTGAATATTCTATTATGATTGTACACATTTGGTTTATTGATTTATCTGTTGATGGACACTAAGATTTCCCACCTTTTAGCTTTTGTGAATAATGCTGTGTGAACTTTGGGGTATAAGTATCTGTTTGAGTCCATGTTCTTAATTATTCGGGGAATATATACACCTAGGAGTGGAATTGCTGGGTCATATGATAATTCTATGTTTGACTGTTTGAGGGACTGCCAGGATGTTTTCCACAGTGGCAGTACTATTTGATATTTGTAGTAGTAATGCATGAGGGTTCCAGTTTCTCCTCATCCTTGCCAGTACTTATTTTCTTCTTTTTTATTATATTCATTCTAGTAGGTTGAAATGGTATTTCACTGTAGTTTTGATTTGCATTTATCTAATTAGTGATGTGGAGCATCATTTCATACTTTTTTGGCCATTTGTTTATTTGCTTTGGATAAACCTTTATCCAAAGGCTTATTGAAGTACTTTGTCCATTTTAAAAATAGGGTTGTCTTTTTGTCATTTGAGTTGTAAGAGCTCTTTATGTATTTTGTCTGTTACACCCTGATGAGGTATTTGATTTGTAATTATTTTCTCCCGTTCTTTGGGTTGTCTTTTCACTTTCTTATGGTGTCATTTTGTTGCACAAAAGTTTTTATATTTTATTTTCGAGAAACAGTCTTGCTCTGTTGTCCAGGCTGGAGTGCAATGGTGTGATCTCAGCTCACAGCAACCTCTGCCTCCTGGGTTCAAGTGATTTCTCCTGCCTCAGCCTCCCGAGTAGCTAGGATTACAGGCAGGTACCACCACCATGCCTGGCTAATTTTTATAGTTGTAGTAGAGACGGGGGTTTCACCATGTTGGCCAGGCCGTTCTCGAATTCCTGACCTCGTGATCCACTTGCTTCAGCCTCTAAAAGTGCTGGGATTACAGGCATGAGCTACTGCGCTGGCCAAAAGCTTTTAATTTAACAACATCTAGTTTCTCTCTTTTTTGTTGCCTGTGCTTTTGGTGTCATATTTAAGAAAGTATTGTCAGGTTTTAAAGGTCATAAATATTTGCTCTTTTCCTTTAAGAGTTTATTATATTTTTAGCTGTCATATTTAGAGCATTGGTCCATTTAAATTTTTATATGTGGTATAAAGTAAGGGTCCAACTTCATTCTTTTACATGTGAATATCAGTTTTTTTCCAGCACCATTTGTTGAAAAGACTGTCCTTTCCCCCATTGAATGGTCTCGGCACTTTTGTCAGAAATCAGTTGACCACAGACATGAAGTTTATATGTGGGCTTTCAGTTTTATTCCATTAGCCTGTATGTCCTAGCTATAAGAGTTGTAGCACAATTTTTGATGACCGTCTTTAGAACGTTTTGAAATCAGGAAATGTGAGTCTTCCAACTTTATTCTTTTTCAAGATTGTTGTAGCTATTTAGTCTCTTGAAATTCTATATGAATTTTAGCATGAAATTTTCTGTTTCTACAACAACAACAACAAAACATCATTGGGATTATGATAGAGGGATTGCATTAAATTAGAATCTGTAGATCACTTTTTTATTATAATCTAACAGTATTAAATCTTCCAATCCATGAACACAAGATGTCTTTCCATTTTGTTAGGCCATCTTTAATTTCAGCAAAATTTTGTAGTTTTCAGTATATAAGTCTTTTGCCTTTTTAATTAAATTTATTCCTAAGCATCTTATATTTTTGACGTTATTGTAGATGGAATTATTTTCTTAATTTCTTTTTAGATTTTTTTCATTGCTGGTGTATAGAAATACAAGCAATTTTTGTGTGTTGGTTTTGTATTCTGCAGCTTTGCTAAATTTGATTGTTAGTGCTATCAAGCTTTCTGTGGAGTCTTTAGGGTTTTTTACACATAAGATCTTGTTACCTGCAAGGAATGAAAGTTTTAATTCTTCCTTTTTAATTTGGATGCTGTTTATTTCTTTCTCTTGCCTAATTGCTGTGTCTAGGACTTCCAGTACTATGTTGAAGTGATGAAGGAGAGTGTCCTTGTCTTGTTTTGATCTTAGGGGAAAAGCTTTCAGTCTTTCATCATTGAGTATGCTATTAGCTGTGTCTATGTATGGCCTTTAACGTGTTAAGGAAGTTTCCTTCTATTCCTAGTTTGAGTATTTTTATCTTGAGAATATTGGATTTTCTTCAAATGCTTTTTCTCCATCAATTAAGATGATCATATTGTTTTATATATTCTGTTGATGTGTATTATATTGATTTTCATATGCATGCCTTGGATAAATCCCACTTGGTTATGGTATATAATTCTAATATGCTGCTGAATTCAGTTTGCTAATATTTTTTTGAGGATTTTTTTTTTCCTATATTTGTAAGGTATTTGACCTGTAGTTTTTCTTTTTTTATAGTGTTTTTGTCTGGATTTGGTATCAGGGTAATGCTGGCTTAAGAGAATGAGTTAAGAAGTATTCTCTCCTCTTCAGTTCTTTGGAATAGTTTGAGGATTGGTATTAATTCTTAAATGTTGGTATAATTCACCAGTGAAGTGATCTGGTCCTGGCTTTCCTTTTGTTCAGAGGTTTTGATTAATGATACAGTCTCCTTACTTGTTATATGTAATTGAGATTTTTAATTTCTTCTTGTCAATTTTGGTAGTTTGTGTGTTTCTAGGAATTTGTCCTTTTATATCCAGTTTGCTGGCATAAACTTTTTCAGTAGTGTCTTATAATCCTTTTTATTTCTGTTATCGATTTCTAATTTCATTCCGTTAGAGAAGATAGTTTGTATGATTTCATTCTTTAAAATTTATTAAGACTTGTTTTGTGGCCTAATATATGGTCTGTTCTAGAGAGTGCTTCATGTGTACTTGAGAAAGTATGTCTCATTCTATGAAAAATGATGTTGGGTAGAGTGTTTAGTATGTTGTCTGTTGGGTCTAATTGGTTTGTAGTGTTCAGTTCCTTTCTTTCCTAATCTGTCTGGTTCTTTTGTACATTGTTGAGGTGGGAGTATTGATATCTAGGATTGTCGTATTTCTCCTTTCAGTTCTGTGAGTGTATGCTTCATATATTTGGGGGCTCTGTTACTGGGTGCATATGTGTTTATAATCATTACCTATCTTGATGGATTGAACCTTTTAGCAACATATAATGTCCTTTGTCTCCTGTAATTTTTTTTTTAATACTTGAGTCTATTTTATCTGAAAAAAATATGGCTACCCCATATCTCTTTTGGTTACTGTTTGGAATATCTTTTTCCATTCTTTTATTTTCAGCCTCTTCAAAGTAAAACAACAGTGTCTGTGTTTTTAAAGTGAGTCTCTTGTAGATAGCATATTGACAGATCATTTTTTAAATCCACCCTGCCCATCTGTGCCCATTAATTGGAGACTTCAAAACATTTACATTTAAAATAATTACTGATAAGGAATGAGGTCTGTCATTTAGCTGTTTTCTGTATGTGTTATGTGCTTTTTTGTTCTTCAGTTCTTCCATAGTGCCTTGTATTTAGCTATTTTGTTGTTGTTGTTGTTGCTGTTGTAGTGTACCATTTTCATGTTCTTCCTTTATTTGCCTATATGTTTTTATTTTCATTTTATATCATTTTAAAAGATTTATCCCCAAATGTAAATCCTGTTGTTTATTATTTATAATGTCAGTGGTTTTATTTTTTAAATATTCTAATCTAGATTCTTACATTGATTCTTTTTGATTGACAAGTAATTTTTGTGTGTTAGTTTTGTATTTTGCAGCTGAATTTTAAAAGTGTTAACACAAGCACTCAAGCAGGCTGCTGAAGAATTGGCATACTTTACTATGTTCCAAACTTGAAATTTCCAAAGTTTTTAATGCATTACTTTAGACCCAAGAGAAAGGTACATTTTCCCCTCTTGTTTAGTGTAAAGTTGAAACTATTGTTTCTTTTCTTTTCTTTTTTTCAGAAGGCAATTTGCTCTGTCACCCAGGCTAGAGTACAGTGGCGCAATCTCGGCATGTTGCAACCTCCACCTCCTGGGTTCAAGCGATTCTCCTGTGTCAGCCTCCTGAGTAGCTGGGATTATAGCCGCATGTCACCACACCTGGCTGATTCTTGTATTTTTAATACAGATGGGGTTTCAGTATGTTGGCCAGGCTGGTCTTGAACTCCTGACCTCAGGTGATCCACCTGCCTCTGCCACCCAAAGTGCTGGGATTACAGATGTGAGCCACCACGCCCAGCCTGAAATTATTTTCTAATCTTAAATTCAGATTTAGGTTTAGTCAGATAGGCAGGAGTTTCCCTCAGCTGTCATCATTCCCGGCTGAAGTTATTACAATAAGCAGTTTCCTTCACTGACCCAGAAAAACCACCAAAGTCACCAATGTTCTGTTAGACCCAACAGAAAGAAGGTGACCAAGCCACTGAATATAAAGCTACTTTGATTAGAAGAGAATATAAAATTTCAATCTGTGATGATGGGGAGGACTTTTCATTCATGGGTTTCCCCTAAGAGAAGTGAGAAAATTCCACTAATTTGAAAACCCATTTTTGAAAGATTAGCACTTCAAAGACTGTAAACTAAAGCTAGGTGTGCAGGTGTGCATCTGTGAGAGGGGGACAGGGAGAGAAAGACTGAGGCTGGAATAGGAATCCTGACGGCTGCTCTTGCTGCTCTCTTCCACCTTAGCCCTGCTGCAGTAGTGATACAGATACCTGGGCTGGATCATAAAGATGACCATGAAGATGTAGCTGGTGACCCTCTGGATG